ATTTCTATACGTTGATTAATTCGTTCACTTCTCTCACATATTTATTTGTAAAAATACTATTCTGCATAAAACATTGTTAACAAAACTTCAATTAGAGGCTATTTGGTGAGTAGTTCGAGTTTGATGTTTCAAAATTATTATTTTATTAAATAATTCGATAATACTGCTGAATATTAAATTAATTTCTTAAACATACTGTAATGTTATTCATTCTTCTTGGATAATTCAGCATAGTTTCTTGGAATTGGACTTCCGTTATACATTTGCTTAGATAACAGGTTAACTAAGTGCATTTCCACTAGATATAATTATTGTTGGAAACTAGGGTATTACATTAATGAATGATGAATTCGAAAAATGAGAAATAATGATCTGATACACATTAAGAGTTTATTCTACTCAAACATCACAAAAGACTACCACGGACATCGCATATAGGATCATTCGCAATATTATACATGACTGACAAAGTAATCATGCTATTTATATCAACAAATCCCTCTTAATCTCACTTCGACTATTATCACAGATGCATCGCTACCATACTCAGAACAAAAATATTCGTAATGCTTAAAGTGTATTCAGGCTATTGATAGTTCAAACGACCAAACACAGGACAATTATACAGCGAAATACACTAAAATTCCAATAGAAAAAATTACTATAGTTCATTTAACTACCACATTCAGACTAGTTAATCATTCATACAATGGACGTATATACAACAGTTCAAAGTTAATCATTTGAATAAATGTAGAAAGTAACACATGAAACTAGAGTTAAGTATTAAGTTTTCATATCTTATAAAGTAAAAACATTGAGATTTAGATGGTGGTTGGAGGTAGTCAACAGGAAACCCTGGACCCGGGTTTCGTGCTACTTGGCACTCGTCAGCAAGGTGTACCTGTAATCTTGAGGGAACTGGTGCTCCCTGGCGGATTCGATCTCGTGTCACCCAGCTTCACAGTCAGAGACGTTGCCACTGAGCATTCCGAGCCGTGACTAACCTCCTGTAGGACTGAGATGTAATCACAATTGATTGATCACTGGGTGGTGATCAATGTCATGCTTGTCTAGTCCTAGCCAAGGAGCACCAGTTCCCTCAAGATTACAGGTACACCTTGCTGACGAGTGCCAAGTAGCACGAAACCCGGGTCCAGGGTTTCCTGTTGACTACCTCCAACCACCATCTAAATCTCAATACATAGTGCTCGCAGTGTCGAGTCACCTAGACTGGTGGCCACATTGCAACATGATCGATAGCATTCGATCTGCACTAATAAAGACTAGACAAGCATGACATTGATCACCACCCAGTGATCAATCAATTGTGAAAGTAAAAACATGTTAAGACTCACACGTTGTCAAGTCCTCATAACATAATGAATAGAAACAAACTTTATAACTAAGAGATTAAATTAACACGCAAAAATGGTTATCTATAATTAAGTCAAATTTTTTTAAATTTTAACCGTATTTGACACAGCGTTTTCACTAATGACATCCAGATGTGATTCTGCACATCAGCAGTACAACTACAGGATTGAAATTGTAAGATACGCCGGGACCAGGATGTTCACTAATGCCCTAGCCCCAGGTGGAGGATCGCCACTGCACTATGGCGTGTTGAAGCCTGCGACCATCACTAATCGAGCTCGCCCGGACGCGTGGTTTTTGTCAGTGGGGAGGTATTCGGAACATCCCTTTGAATAACAATACAGGCCCCCGAATGCCCTGGTACAGCCGAGTGGAGAGGGCCAGCCCCCCTCTCGAACAGCCACGCGAATACAGCCTCTGCCAGGGAAGTCCTACCCACTGCACTATTGTTTTCCAAATTAGGAGGATGAAAATCGAATGTCCCGAACTTTAACCGGGCCCGTGGACACGGACAGTCCACCTAGGGGATATGAGAAACCCTGATTTCAAACCAGTAGTGCACATGAACTCCAGGATCCCGAGAGAACAAATGGCATATGAACCAATAGTTGGTCACCGGCTATCATGGGACTGCATCTCCTCACGATGCTCCACTACCTTATGGATCAGACCTTTGGGTCAAAGGCTCGGGGTGCGGCTCCCTAAGAAAACCACCGGCGTCGGTCTGGGCACCCAGGCACCATTATAGCACTCACACAATTAAAATGAAATGACGATTATTTAATAAACTGCTCTCACTCCTATTGCAATCCAAACAACCCATACCCATTTGATAACATCCACTTATATTTTTAGTTTTTATGTACTACGTCACTTATCTACCCTCTTGCATTCTTACTTTTAAACTTATATAACAGCTCGTATATAGTAGAAATTCTGTTCTATCTAAATGACCTCGAGTCACTTCCTGGTTGAAAATTGTATGCTACCACCAAGTACGAATACTCAAACAGTTTTTCTGAAACCACATGCACCATTCAAACTGGCTGCCTTCAACGTTCGCACACTTATGTAGGTCGGACAACAGATAGGGCTGGCTATGTCTTTGGAAAGTCTTAATATCGATGTCTGCCGTCTATCCGAGACCCGTATTCAAAACTCTAGTGAAGTACTACAAATTCGCTCTCCATCTGTCACTTCAAAAAGCTTGTTTTACATGCGCTTATCCGGGGACACTGTGGCATCTTCGTCTGGTCTTGCTGGAGTTGGTGTCGCGATAAGACCTAGAGCTGAGGCAGCACTAATCGATTCGATCCCCATTAACAGTCGGCTACGTGCTGTTAGATTAGAAAGTTCCATCAATGTGAGAAAAAATCGGCGTGAGAAACGATTTCTTTTCGTCATCTCCGCCTATGCCCCGACACATTGCAGCCCAGATGCAGACAAGGATGAATTCTAACACGTTATCTGTTCTTCTCCAGAAAGTGCGTTCGACAGATATTGTAGTACTAGCCGGAGACTTGAATGCCCAGGTCGGGCGTCTAGGCACAGAAGAGAGTCGTTTAGGTGGCCGATGGGGACTCGTTGGTCACAGGTCAGATAAGGAGGACCGTCTACTGCAACTATGTACAGACCACAACCTGTTTCTGGCTAGCACTAACTTTCGGCACAGTCATCGCCGATGTGCCACCTGGCGTCCTCCCTCTGCATCTCAAGTCTGGACTCAGATTGATCACATCGCGGAAGTCCGCAAGGAACTCCAACTCTTGAAGCGTTGCAAATCACCTGGCCCAAATGACTTACCTCATGCCCCCCTTAAAGATAGCGGTGACTTTCTGTCTAAGGAACTGACGACGTTGTTTACAAAGGTTAGGGAACTAAAGAGTGTACCAACGCATTGGAATGAGTCGTTAGTTGTCCTTATCTTTAAAAAGGGTTCACGTCGTTCCTGTAAAAACTATCAGGGGATAAGTCTACTTCCGATTGCATCCAAGCTATTGGCTTCCGTCATACTTCGTAGGTTGTTCAAAACCCGAGAAAGATTGACTTGCGAGGAGCAGGCTGGGTTTCGTTCTGGTCGAGGATGTATTGATCATATCTTAACCCTTCGCCAAATGTTAGAACACCGCCATACTTTTCAAAGGCCAACAATCGTAGTGTTTCCTGACATCAAGGCTGCTTTCGATTCGTTGGACAGGACTGTTCTCTGGGATTGTCTATTGCCCAATATCATCATACCTCTTGAACTTTGCCATCGATGATATTCTGGAAAATGCTCTGATGGATGTTAGTAATGGCGGTGTGGATCCGTTGCCTGGAGAAAGACTTCTCGACCTTGAGTATGCGGATGATATTCTCTTACTGTGCGATAATGCCCAAGCCATGCAATCCGCACTTAATCAGTTGGCAATCAGTGTCCGTAGGTATGGTATGTGCTTTGCACCTTCGAAGTGCAAAGTACTTTTACAAGACTGGCAGGATTCCAATCCTGTACTCACCCTGGATGGTGAGCAGATAAAAGTAGTCGAGAAGTTCGTGTATCTGGGTAGCTGCATAAGTGCTGGTGGTGGCGTGAGTGATGAGATCAATGCACGTATAGTGAAAGCCAGAGCGGTTTATACCAATCTGGACCATCTTTGGCGCCTTCGTGATGTTAGTCTGGCTGTAAAAGATCGGGTCTACAACGCGTCGGTGAGAGCAGTTTTGCTACATGCTTGTGAAACCTGGCCTCCGAGTTGAGGATGTTAGACGACTGTGTTTGATCATCGTTGTCTCCGAAGGATTGCTGACATTCAGTGGCAACACCATGTTAGTAATGCAGAGGTTCGGCATCGTGTGTCCGGGCACAGAGACGATAATGCAATTGGTGTCGCCATCTTGAACATGTTCTACGAATGTCGTCCCAGAGAATTCCACGTCGTGCATTATTTGCCGACTCTGGAACTGGTTGGAAGGAGCGGAGAGGTGGTCAGTGCATGACATGGTGTTGTGGCATGAAAGAAAGCTGCAAAGGACTGGCTTCTGTCGGTCCTTCATGACTCCCTGGTTGGGGTCTGAGAGATAGTGCTACACAGTGGCTAGAGACATTATCAGATATGTCTCAGAATAGAAGCCATGAGATCCTGTTGTAATCTTCGTTTACTTTCTCCACAAAACGTTGTTGTAACTTCCTTAATTGAAAGAATTCTTTCTGGTTGTACCTTCCCGTTCCCCCCATTATTATTATTATCATTACACTACCATACACTAATCTGTGGTCGTTATTGTTCTCTGTTTTTTCTTCTCTCTTATACGCACTTCATATTCTTTTTGTCTTCCCATTCTCAATGTTATTTTGTGGCACACATATATTTGGTGCCCCCTTGTACCAATATTTATGTGTTCAAATAAATAAATAAATACGCCAAAAATGAATAATGACAGTGTAATATAGTAACCTGTTGATGTTTACAAAATAATAATTCATACCTTAGTTTTTCTCACTTGTCAATATTATCATAACTTCTTCAACTTGACAATCACATGTAATTCATACCTTAGTTTATAGGTTAGGAAAGAATAAAAAACTATATATATATATATATATATATATATATATATATATATATATATATATATATATATATACTCTGGTATGTTTATTTATCTTAATGACATTTATTGAGGAATGAAAACTTTCCTGAAATGTATCACATCTATTCTTACTCGAATGTAAGTTGTTATCGTTAAAAACTTTCATTGAATGTATTCACGATCTGACATACCTATTTAGTCGTATTACATCCGCTTTCATATTAAAAGTATCTCTCGTTGTATTCTTACCTCAAACTCAAACTCATACAAATCATAATACAAAACAAGTTAGAATTAAACGTAAATTAGAGGAAAAATGTTCAAAGTTTTGATATAAAAAATAAAATTTGACATTGAACAAATGAACAAATTGATACATAATGCATAAAGTGGATGAAATATTAAAGAGAGAAAACGAAAAACAAACAACTCAACGGTATTTATCTCACTTTTCACGCGACTGAACTTAAAAATCTGACTCCTAAGAAATTAAGTTTTAAAAAACAGAAACTTCAGTAAAAATTACACACACAAGAAGAATAAAGAAAAACAGATTTTACATATACATACTACAGTTTTTATACATTTGAAAACAAGAAAACACAATTGGGAAGATTATGTATACAAAGTATGATAAAAGGTTGGATTGAATGGGGACAAAATAACAAATTATATCATAAACAAGATAGAAACTGATCGAGAAAAAGTTCAATAGATTATAATAATGTTGTATACTTTTAAAATATTTATATGTGGAAAATATATGAATCACTAAAAATGCTGCTTGAAGGTAAATATTGTTTCTCATATGATTGACAGAATATGTGGCTCGTCGATTCATAACTTTTTAATTAATAATTAACAATTTCGTTCATGATACCTATTCTGCAAAATAAAAATATTTTGCCATTAAATATAAATATATACATAGTCTAATCATTAAAAAGATCTTGTTTCAACATGATATCGCTTTCCTATAATGCTCAAACTGACAACAACAAACTCCAGTGCAAATGAACATTCTCATAATAACCTCATTACTTGGAAATCTTTTTAAACACAATCGACATTGATGTAATGAGCTTTTTATGAGTATACATATAAAAGTGAATAGTAAACTTTGACAAATGAATTAGTTGTGTATCTCACAGTTATCAACCATAGATGAACATTTCAAAAATGTCAAATGTGACAAAGATTGATGGCTGAAGCTTAGGTCAAATTATTAACAAGTGTTGGATTTTTAAATACATGGTGATAAGTGTAATGTTTCTACATGCATTTCAGACATTTCGAGAACTAATGACCAAAATTAATACATAGAGAAGGGAATAGAATTCCGGATGTTCACTGTAAGATGATACCCCTGAACACTAATAGATAGAGCACAGTGATAGAATTGACTTAAATGAAGTCATTAATAATAATAAGTGTGGTTACTTGTCATGTGTTTTAGTCAGTGAGTTAACGTTCGTTAACTTTCAATCAATCCTAGATCTTTTTCTACATCCTAGTGTTTTCATTCGTTTTTTTACAGATACTACTAATGGGAAATGATAAAACAACAAAATTTCTTTTGAAATGAATACTTTAACATAAACTTCAGAATACTGAAGGGGTAAAACACATTGAACAACAACTTATTTAATGCGTATCAAATCTCAAAAACTTACTAAGTAAGCAACACATGCACTCAATGGTATCCATACGATAAGTGATAAGAAGACTGCGAAAAATACTAGATTGTCCCAAGCAATGGTGCCTATTGTTTTATTTTAAAAAAAACAATCAACGATGAAATGAATATATTTTTAAAACAAGAGTTTATTTAAAGAAAAGAAACAGGAAAGCAAATTCAGTAGAGTATGGAATTTTTTAAATAATATCTGTTTTTATATTTTTTTGGAAACAGTTATAATCAGAACAGTTGGTGATTTAATGTTTAAGAAATAAGCTATGATATGATACATATGGATTTCATAGTTTGGAAAGTGTAGTACATTATAAAGTTCAAAATCATGAACTCAATCTTTAAAGATATAATGACTGTTTATTGAAAATATGAATAAACAACGGACGTTCTACCAATGTAAAATGTATAATTAGAAGTAATTTAAATGTTTATGACATGAAATTCATTTATTTGATAACTGAAAATAAAATAACATCCGCGTATTTCTCTATTTATCTAATTAAATTATGACTCATTGATTTACCATACATCTAACTTGCAGTTAGTGAGGTACAAATTTGAAACTTGATGTACCTAATGAGCTATAAACAAGTATGTATTACCATTAACCCCCAGTATTTTATAATTGACATCCCAGTATGTATATACATGATTGCTGGGCGATGATTCAGGCATTCGATCTTCAGTCGCTAAGTCGCAGGCCCGAATCCCAATACACCAGGTTCCGGGTATTATCACTAGTTTTCACAATAAGAGGATGGCTTGAAGTCAACTACCCGAATATGCCCCTGTTAATAAGTCGGTAATAGTAACAAGATTCTTTATCTCACAACCCAATAATCTTTGAACCACAAGATCAATTTTATAATGTGGAGAAGTTGTTAGGAGATTCGTTAATGCTTTTAATGATTATATGTATATGTATAATAATTGATAACTGTGTATTTGTATAGAGAGAATGGTTAAGCTTATGTGTGCAAGACTTCAATTCCTGGGTTTGTTTCCCGCCCACAAAATCGTGGATGGGCACTGCTGAGAAGTCTCACACTAGGACGAAACGGGTTTACAGTGCTCCAAAGATTTAAATGGTTGTCCAACTTTGATCGGTTCATAAATTCAATGAAATATATATAACACTGTCAAATACACAAATACTTTCAAATATCGATGAGTTAATTCATTAAAGATAATAAATATTTAAATGAATATACACATACACAAATTAAAAAATTCTCTTCTCAATAATAAGAATTATATTCAGTGATGAGAACAAGACGAACTTCAATAAAAAATCGCTGAATATACATGTTAATAAAAAATTATACCTACCGAGATTCTTGTGTTTAGAATAATGAACTGGTGTCCAAAATCGTAATATCCGCTTACTTTTCGATTCTATACATTTTCCCGCCATACAATAACCATTAAGACATGGCCGATAATCTTGCAAATGAATATGTACTAAAGGTTGTTTATGATAGTATGAATTAATATTGTTAAAATCAGTTGTAGCTAGTTTTTGAGTTTTATTATCAACAACAAAATGATATGTATCATTTGGTGAGTGTTTATCATACAACCGTAATATGTTAGACGAGGATAGTAAAAACTTATGCATAGAATACAGAGTTGATCGTCTTGAATGATAAATCATTGAATAGGATTGATAAGATTCTGAATGTTTTACAGTATTCTGTTTAGAATGTAATAGATATTCATTTTGGGACAATGTAACAGGAAGGCATATGGTGCTTTGATTTGTGGTTGAATTTGATGTTGGAAATAAACAGCAAATAAAGCAGGATTCTTCAACTATTTACAAAGAAAGAATGGAAAGAAACATTGACACTTTTATATTTGAAAATTTATTCTACTGAATTATAAACGTAAGTAGTCAGTACAATCTAAATTCATTATTTATTACGTTGTTTAAATTTATATTGATCTATTTATGTATATTAATCAGTACATTATTGTCGAGTTCCATAGTGATGCAATTAGAGTATATAAAAATCAGTCGTCTAATTTTGAATAAGGATCGGACTTTGTAATGGACTAATGAATTTTTCTACTGGACATGAATCTTCTCAGATCTATACTCTATATAATAGTAAAAAATTCGTTATATCTAGTGGAGTCCTGAAATTTCACTTCAAGATCATGAAACTTTTATGAAAATACAATCAGCAAAGAGACTGAACTATGGTACAAAGTGATTACGTAAGCTAGGGCCATATACTTGCTCTTGTGAGACAGGTTACACTGGCCTCACAAAGCGAACACTAAAGAAACGAATCTCTGACCATTACCCTGGCCGACTCAAAACGATTATCCAGGTCGATCAATAGACTAACTCTGGAAAATCTCGTAAAGCTCTAATCACGTTCTCTTACCAGAATCTACATTCATCCACATGGTCAAACGAATTGGTTATAAATTAGAAACCTATGCACTATAGAGGCTTCTGTAACTTGTTGATTGAATTTCACAATGATATCTCATCTATCAACCTTATCTTACTATATTTTACTTATCTTTAGGTCACTACCTAAACTACTTTTAATATTCAATAAATCCGAATGCTTTATAACACAATTTTACACTACTTAATAGACAACTATAAACGTCAGGCAACTTTAGACACTGTTGTATAGCTTCACTGCTGAACAGTTCTTATTTTTTATCAATGATCCAAGCGATTTCTTGATAATAAGTGCATCCAACCTACCTGAATCACAGATACAAGTTTCCAGTCCCAGACTAGAACAAAACGGATGACATTTACCCTGAAAACATCGCCCATATTCATCACATTGACCACCGGATAAAAGTGTTGGACCTGGACAAATAGATGATAAACCATTACACTGACCAGGTCCTAAACAAGGATTAGTACTGCTAGTTTGTGCGCAAACGGTATTCTTTGGTGCTAACTGACAATCTGTATAAAGAAAGGTAGTAGAAATATTAAATAACGGATCGATTTACGAGGAGCAGTTTACAAATACTCAAGAAAAAAACACCGTGTTCTTCAAGTTTAAGTAGATGAAAGAACTATACGAATACCACAACCCAATGACTGAACGTCAAGTGTGACTTAACAACTAAGCTAATAAACAGATAGATTTGAATCTCTTATGAAATACTAGACTTTATGACTGTCCATGAGTATCGATAAACGCAATACTCATCACTTATTAATTACCCTAATACAATCTAATACTTTAAACCTACATGCGATTAATGAACTTCAGTTTATCTGTTACAGGAATGGTATTACAAGTAGAATCATTGTGAACAACAATAATTAATCTGAATTCAACGTAACAAATAGGCTTTCGAAACAAAAACTAACCAGAAGTACAACAACCATGATTCCAAGGTGAACAGTGAGCACCTGTTCTAAAATAACACTCAGAACTACAACAAGGATCATGTGGATTTCGACCAGCATCACATTCTTCACCCTCATCAATACGACTGTTACCACAAAGATTTGAAAGAGCCGCAGATGAATCTTCGAAACATAATGGAGCACGAGTAACCAAACAAGCGCCAATTGTCCGTAAACTACATGGTGAAAATTTCTAAAGAAATAAGTATGAGATCGATAGTGATATTCATAAACCGTCATTAAGTAAGTCTAAAATACCTTGATAAGGAAACATTTGACAAGTGCATTACTAATCTCTTCCATTATTAATTGGTTAATTATTTATTTAAACACATTAACATGGTTACAGAGATGCACCAAATATATGTGTCGCACACATTAGTTATCATTTAATTTGCGTGTGGGATGAGACATTACCCGGGCGCCCAAAACAAAGCAAGTGGTTTCCTCAAAGTGTCACAAGCCTTTGACATAAAGGTCTAATCTACAAGGCAGTAGAGCAACATTAGATGTAGTCCCATGATAGCCAATGGTCAAGGTTAGGTTCATATACCATTTTTTCCTCAGGATCCTGTAATCCATGTACCCCATTAGTTTGGATTCAGGGCTTTCAAACTCTTCTAGATGGGTCTTCCTTATCCATCAACACGGTTTGAGCGCCGGACATTCGCTTTTCTTAATTTCAATTTTGTAAACAACACTCCTCCGCGGTGCCTAGAATCTCATATAAAGACACATCCACTTGGAAATATGAGTATATGATTACTATTGACATTCAGATGCGATTAATTACTTGTGCTCATTATTACAAACAATATAAAACAATTAGAAATCAATTCTGTATTAGGTGGAAAAAAACATAATTGGTAAATTAGGTATTACATATTCACGCCTGGGAAAAATTGAACCATGATATCTATCAAGGAAAACTATTAACAAAGAGAATAACACGTGACTTTTTCTCGATTGATGTTGAGAAATGGTACTCTATCATGAGGAATCTACTTCATCGTTAATTTTCAGATTGTCAGTGTAATAATTTTTTTAGAAAAAAACTTTTTTGGCATTTTATATCCGAAAATTTCATATCTGAAAGAGGCAGATTTAATATGTTGGAAAAGACCAATTAATATGACTACGTAAGATTTCCTTTATATCATGCAATTATCCAAAGAAAATATCTTTCATATAAGAGATTTCGGGAAATAACAGTTTTAAATTATGGTTACTACCTACTGATTGAATATGATGAGATGATACATGGATAAATTAAAAACTAATGCAACTAACTCCATTATTTTCAGCGTAACCTGAAACTGAATAGGTATACATTAAATATTTTCCAGAACTTATAGCTGCAGGATTGCATTCATCTGTGTCAGGATCATGATCTGCGCCCCAACTATGTCCTAATTCATGAGCCGTGATTAATTCAGCCAAAGCGTTCACTAGTTGTTGACCATTATAATCCACATAAGTAGTCCATCCTGTATTTAAATAGAGATCCTTTTTATTATTTCGATGAACTAATTTGGCAAAAAAAGAAATATAAACATTTTTTGAATGGTAGAAATATGTATAATTTGGTAACCACGTATAATTCTGTGTACTTTATTGTAACGACTAGTGACAGTACTTGGCAACATGAAAAACTGTTGACTGTGATTAAAAATCAAATAACTTGGCTCATTAAACAGAAGTGTCATTAACACTATAATACAATGTGATGTAGCCTTTCCAATAATACTGCGATGACCGCTATTTATGAGGACAGATATAGGTAGTACGTAGCAGCAACTCGAAATGGGATGTCCACTAGCAGAAGTTTGAAAGAGGAACGAAGATGGAGAGCGATCGGAATAACAACTGAATTGGAAGAATGATGGATTATGTAAAGGAAACTAAATAAAGATACGCAAATGATGTGCCTATTGCATGATTTTGATATTTTAGAAAGTCAGTCAGTCAGTCAGCTACAACGTAGGACCAGGCACATATATGCATCGGTCCAAGTTGCCATACCGCATTAGCACAGCAAGATGAACACTGGATTCATAGAAGTAGTTAATTCAGAGGTGGCAATATATAAAAGAAAGATTGCAATAAGGATATAGTACAGGAAGAAAGAATTAGTTCGTAGAAAGAAACATATGAAGCGATTTTAATCTCTGGGTTTCTTCAGGTTCCTTACAACTCATTGAAGCCCGTCGGTCTACTCTGGGTGACCGTGAGTTTGACCATAAACGAAGGATGTTAGGTAAGTAAATTGGGCAAAGCTTGCGTAAGGACAGAGAAACCTGGTGGTCGGAGTGTTCTAATGAGTTGGAAGCAAGAACTGCATCTGGTAATTACCGGAAGCTCTTCCAACTCATCCGAGCCACTGGCAGCAAGAAGTCTTGTGTGAGCGAAACAATCTGCGAGGATGATGGGATGCCAATCACTAACATCAATTGACGCCTTGGACGATGGGCAGAATTCTCCGAAGGCAGTTCAACTGGCCTGCTGCTCCGGCAACATCGGTCAGACTGTCCTGCCCTCCATGGCCGGTGACGACTGATCCACCAAATGAGGCGGAAGTCCGCAAGGAACTCCAACTCTTGAAGCGCTACAAATCACCTGGCCCAGATGACCTACCTCCGGCTCTTTTTAAAGATAGTGGTGACTTCCTGGCTAAGGAAATTACTGTGTTGTTTACAAAGGTTTGGGAACTGAAGAGTGTACCAACGTCATGGAATGAGTCGATAGTTGTCCTTATCTTTAAAAAGGGTTCACGTCGTTCCTGTAACAACTATCAGGGGATAAGTCTACTTCCGATTGCGTCCAAGCTATTGGCTTCCGTCATACTTCGTAGGTTGTTCAAAACCCGAGAATGGTTGACTCGCGAGGATGTAAATAATGGTGATGTGGATGTTGCCTGGAGAAACTTTTCGATCCTGAATATGTGGATGATACTGTCTTACTGTGCGATAATGCCCAAGCCATGCAATCCGCACTTAATCAGTTGGCAATCAGTGTCCGTAGGTATGGTATGTGCTTTGCACCTTCGAAGTGCAAAGTACTTTTACAAGACTGGCAGGATTCCAATCCTGTACTCACCCTGGATGGTGAGCAGATAAAAGTAGTCGAGAAGTTCGTGTATCTGGGTAGCTGCATAAGTGCTGGTGGGGGTGTGAGTGATGAGATCAATGCACGAATAGTGAAAGCCAGAGCGGGTTGTGCTAATCTGGACCACCTTTGACACCTTCGTGATGTTAGTCTGGCTGTAAAAGATCGGATCTACAACGCGTCGGTGAGAGCAGTTCTGCTACATGCTTGTTAAACCTGGCCTCTCCGAGTTGAGGATGTTAGACGATTCTGTGTTCGATCATCGCTGTCTCCGAAGGATTGTTAACATCCAGTGGCAACATCATGTCAGTAATGCAGAGGTTCGGCATCGTGTGTTCGGGCACAAAGATGATAATGCTATTGATGTCACCATCTTGAAACACTGACTTCGGTGGCTTGAACATGTTCTACGAATGTCGTTTCAGAGAATTCCACGTCATGCATTATTTTCCGACTCTGGGAGTGGTTGGAAGAAGCGGAGAGGTGGGCAGTGCATGACATGGTGTCGTGGTATGAAAGAAAGCTGCAATGGGTTGGCTTCTGTTGGTCCTTCTCGACTCCCCGGCTGGGGTCCTAAAGATGGTGCAAGACAGTGGCTAGAGACGTTATCAGATATGGCTCAGAATAGAAGCCAGTGGCGATCCTGTTGTAACTTTCTTTTACTTTCTTCATAAAAAGTGGTTGTGTCTCCCTTACCTGAAAGATTTCTTCTGATTGTACCTTTCCGTTCCCTCATTGCTATCAAATTAACTTACACTAATCTTTTCGTTATTGTTCACAACCTCATCAACTGATTTACCATCATTCCCTAATACCCTGTGTCTAACCTCACTATTACTTACCCGATGATCCCACCAGATGCGAGCAACATTTATAAGACATATGTGATCAAAGACTAGTAACTTACGAGTGTCTTCTACTCCTAATGGTCATGTTTCGCAGCCGTAAAGTAAAACAGAACGAACTGCCACGCAGTATACTCGTCCGTTAATTGACAGACGGATATCTCGCCTTCGCCATAGGTGACGTAAGTTGGCAAGAGCCAAGCGAGCTTTTCGAATCCGTGCTGAGATTTCGTCAGACACCAACCCATTACGGCTGATCAGATCCCCAGAATAAGTGGAGTTGTCAACGCGTTCGACTACTTCACTCCCTATCCTTACTTCAGGTGTTGACGCAGACCAGTCCTGGAGCAACAACTTGCATTTAGAGGGAGAGAAGCGCATTCCAAACATTCTGGCATTGTTGCGTAGTGCTACCAAAAAACTGCATTTTATCAGCGTCTTCACCAAACAGGACTATGTCATCTGCGTATTCTAAGTCGATAAGTGGACCTCCTGGAAGGAGATCAATACTCGAGAATTCAGTAGACGAGAATGTTATTTCCATCAGTAGGTCCATGATGAAGTTAAACAAAAATGGAGAAAGTGGACAGCCTTGACAGACACCACTTGAGGCTGTAAAAGTAGATGACAGTTCGCCATAAGCTCTGACTCGACTGGTAGTGTTCGAGTAAAGAGCCTTCACAAGCTTTATGTACTTCTGAGGTACGCCTTTCAATGATAGACACTGCCACAGAATCTCGCGGTCTACCGAGTCAAATGCTGCTTTTAGGCCAAGAAAGACCACCATTGTCGGACGCCGATAAGTATGCCTATGTTCTAGAACCTGACGAATGGTTAATATGTGGTCGATGCAGCCACGACTAGTTCTGAAGCCAGCCAGATTTTCTCGTGTTTGCAGTTCACGAGTCTTAGTTAGGCGCCCGATAATTATAGAGGCTAGTATTTTAGATACTATATTAGTTAAACTAATCCCTCTATGGTTATCACAGGATAATTTTGATCCTTTATATATATATATATATATATATATATATATATATATATATTGGGACGATCAGTGATTTCGACCAGTCAGATGGGATTACATTCAGTTCCTAGATTTTAGCTAAAATATTGGTCAACCTAATCGCTAAAATTGGACCACCATCCTTGAAGACTTCTGGAACCAATCCATCTGGACCAGCTGCCCTTCCTCGTTTCAGATTAACTATAGCCTTTTGAACTTCACCTAAAGTTGGACGACTTACTTCAATGTTCCATTCACACTGTCTGGGAATGGAGGGTAGTTGTAGAGTAACTGAAGGCCAGCTGAACTGTTCTCTAAAATGTCCCGCCCACCGTTCTAAACGTCCGGACTGAGAGCAGAAGAGGGTGTCGTCTTTTTCCGAAATAGTCTGACTTACACTTGACTTATTAACTTCAGTTTCTTTTATTAGTCTGTAGAGCTGTCTTGTGTTCCCTATAGCCGCCGCCTTTTCCATCTCTTTTGGTTTCGTTGCCCACCACTGCTCACGGTCGTTCCTTAGACCTTTGCTTAACCTAGATCTGATTTGTTGTCGCTCTTTATCGTGTTCAGAACCTGATGGGATGAGTTTACGAGAATCCATCAGTGCAATAGACCTTGAGGAAATCCATAGGTTCTTTGTAACCCTGTGGTTTAAATCACTGATAGATGTCACTGCTGTTTCCACAGCTGTTTGTATGGCTTTCCAAGCAACAACTGGGTCAACCTCGTTTTCAGAACTACCTCATCGTGACCTCGGTTGTTCCTGGAACCTATTTTTGGTTTTCTCGTTACTCAACTCAGTCCTAATTGGTCTTTTTAATGTGGCTTTTTGCGTCCAGTGAGGCGCAAGCAGATGCGTGCCCGTGTCAGGTCATGGTCGGAGTCCAAGCAGGTACTCCAGAATGAGCGACAATCTTCTACCGACCCTCTCCAACGATGACTGATGGCAATATGATATACTTGAGCCCATCGTTGGTTTGGTGTAGGGGGTCGCCATGTTAGACGATGTCTCTCCTTATGTTTAAAATTTGTGTTTGCTAAAAATAAACGAATGCCTGAGCACAGTTGTAGCAGACGATCACCATTATCTGTTCGTTGTGCCGGAATACTAAAATACCCATCTAAATGCCTTTCTGTTTGGTTTAAACTAATTATCTGGGTATTAAAGTCACCTGCTACGAGTACTTTGTCTGAACGTTTAGCTTTCTGAAGAAGTTCAGATAGCTTTCTGTAAAATTCATCTTTCACTTCATCTGAGCTGCAGTCAGTGGGAGCGTAGGCAGAAACGACAAAAAGGCAACGACGTGTGTTCCTATCCTTCCGAGTTCTTACGGAACCGTTTAACCGAACAGCACATAGACGAGTGTTAACGGGGATGCACCCTAACAGTGCTTGTTCCGCCCTCATGCTTAGTTCTATGCCTACTCCTGCCAGTCCACGAGAACTGGCCGTCAGGTCACCAGATACACGGAGGGTGTATCTCGTTAGCTCTCCGTTTCGTCGAGGTGAGGCCAAGTGAATGACCACACTGGGATCCTGTATGTGTGTTTCAGAGACACAGCATACATCAATGGTACGAGATTCTAGGGTTCTAGCCAAGGAAGCCTGTTGACCGATTTGACATAGGGTGCGTACGTCGAAGGCTCTAATGTGTAGTGTGGAGCGAGGTTTCAGTAGACCTGGGACAGTGTTTTGAGCACTAGAATCGTTGGCTATGGAGACACTTGAGGGGGAAGCCGAAAGAGGAAGTTCAGAGGTGAAAGTCGATGTAGGAGGAATAATAGGAATTGAAGAGGGAGGTTGATTATGAATACAGTGGTCTTGAGTGCTGTTAAAGGTATGAGGGCGGTTATCACTTCCCGATTGCCCACACCGTGGAAGGGTTTTTCTGGAGGTGCCTGAAAATGAAATTGGATTAGAGGTGGTCTTAGTGACCTGAGAGCGTGACCGCAGTGCCCAAGGGACAACTGCTTGTGGTCGGTCACACACGACCTTTTTATGGGTAATTTTTGTGTTAGCTCCGTACTTGTTGTGACCTTACCGCCGGAGACCGATATCCGTGGGATAAGGCGAAGTGTGCATTTTTAGGGTCGACCTTTTCTAACCCCACCCCTCCTTGTGGGAAGGCAGCATCGCTGTAATGCTGGTTGTCTGAAGGAAACACCTTACTGCTGTCACACCTCTGTACAGTCAGCAGTACGACTTCGCCTTCGGACCTCGGGATTGTTGCTTTTAGTCTTACGGTTCTTCAACCGACCTGTCTGACATGGTAGGACCTTGAGGAACGGTTGTTCCAGCCAGTATAGCTCGGTTGCTTCATCACGATAGGCGAGCCCGACCACCACGTCAAGGTAGCAACAACGGTTATGCATAGAACAACAAATTGGTCTCAGTCTTCGTCCATTGTGATACTTTCATTTTATTTATAATTAAAAATGATTTAGCGAATATATATAGTGAGAGGGAGAGACAGAATATGGTACAATAAAATTCTTTATATAGTTTAGTTGTCTTTACGGTATGCTCAAATGATTAATAACCCTACAAAACAAAATTTCTGATAATGTAGAGTGGCGCATTAGTTGTTAAAGCATTCAAATATTAACCAACAAGTTAGAGTCACATTTTACTTTAATTTAGAAAGCCAAATACTATTTAGTAAGCCACAAAAAAAGCTAAATGAATTAAAATCTGCTTTATAAGCGAGTTAGAAATATAATATTATTACTAAACCAACCTACAGATGGTACTCTTTCGGTATTTTGTAAAATAATTCATTTATTCTGATACTACCTTTTGCTTACTACTTCAGCACTATGCCGTTCTTCTCAACTTAATGTATAATTATCTATTGAGATTGATTGTGAAAACATTTAAAACACGTTTTCTACGGCAAAATCTATAATGCCTCACCAATTAGGGACGATCGACCATAATATAATGACCTGACAGTTAGGTATTAATTTGTTGTAAACAAAGTGATCTAAAAAGCTGATAACTTTTAATCGCTTTGTCATTTATTTTTGTGCTAATATTTAGTATACAAGTATATTATTTTATTAGATAAAAGGTTGGTTCATTGACTATTGTTCTCATTGTTAATCTCAATTCATTAGGGGTTTACGGTAGTGCGTAGTCAGAATTCGTTCACAGAGATGTTTCAATTACAGTTGATAAAGATTCACTACCTCATCAATCGATTTGCTATTCCTCCGAAACACTGCATCTAACCTCAGGATTGATAATCCGAGGGTCCTAACATATAAGAGAAATGCTTCGAAGATATTTATAGTCAAACACTAGTAACCAAATAATATCCTCAAATTTTAAAGGCCACATTTCGTAATCGTAAAACAGAACGGAGTAAACTACTGTGCATCAAAATCGTACTTTAGCTGGTAGACCAATATCTTGCCTACGTCACATCTGACGCAAGTTGGCAAGAACCAGACAACTCTTCCGCATCGGTGCAGACATTTTATTAGCCACCAACCCGCCAGGGTTGATCAAACTCCCAAAATAAGTGAAGTGATAGACGCACTCAACTACTTCACTCGCTCTCATTACCACAGGCATCTACGCAGACCAATCTTGAAGCAAACTTTTTTATTTAATGGGAAAGAAACGCACCCCAAGCATGTTTTCTTTGTTGCTTAAGTTGGTCAGTATCATTTTATTTAATGAATGGGACTATATCGCCTGCATATTTTAAGTCTATGCGAGAACTTCCTGATAATAGATCAACCCCTGAAAAGTTAGGTGAGGAAAGTGTTATTTAGAAGAAAGCATCTATGACAAAATAAAATAAAGAGGGAGATTATTTGCAATAGATTGTGATGGATATTCTTTACAGCAATTGATTGTAGAGTGCAAACAATAAAATATCATCATATTGTCAACAAATTATGTTTGAACTCTACCACTTGTTAAGAAGCACTTTTAAGGCAAATATATTTACTTTTCGTCTTCTTTTAGACCTTGAGTTTCAAAATAACCGTTTATTATCTATCTTACGCATCTATTTTTCTTCCTGATTTATATTAATTATCCCCAATGTTTTCTATTATCACTGATTATGTTACTACTTCTACTACTCTGATATTCGTACTGATAATTTAATCTCTCTCCGCTGGTGCGGTATGGCCATTTGAAACCATGAACAAATGCGCTAAGTCCTACTTTGTTTATGATTGACAGTTGAAAACAGATAAGAATATGAGTTGCAGATTTCATCATCAAAACCCAAGAGACCTAAACGGATATTCTGTTGAGATTTAGGTGACCGATTTTCGTGTTAAGAATGAATTAATTAATAAAACTAAAAAATTAAGGACTTACGAGGTGGGGAACAAATACCGCCTAACTTCTTTGGATCCGGGGAGGCCAACCAAGACATCCCTAAAATGCCTTCATCTATTCTTTTGTAGCTAAGTAAATGAGCCAAACAAGACTGTTTCGAATCGAATCGACTAAATGCCTAGGGGAAATTTGAGTAAAGCAAATAAAGTATTTCGTTAAATACCGATAAGATTAAAGTATAAACTTGGGTATACTGAAAGGTTATTTAACACTACACATTCTACAACATCTCCTAAGAGTAATCTGCAAATACTAAAACCATCAAGCCACTAGAAATAATTTAAAAGAAGAGTAAACTGATTGATGAGATTAAGCATCAGCACAACAGTTGTGTGAATGGTAAAGCAAGATCACGACTTAAGAAGTCCTATGACGAACACATTGAAACATGGTGAGCATCCATGAGGTCTTAAATTCGCGGTCTGAAGCATAAAGACATCGCTACAAAATTTCGAGTTAGAATCACAAAATTAAAATAATAAGATCTTTGTCATATAATACTCAATCATTACCAATTAAGTGGATATACATTCATTTACCATTGATATGGGAGCAAACGATATTACCTTTCCTCCAGGAAAGGTAATGACTCAAAATAATAGAATATTTTACCAGGTCCAACATGTGTCTCTATATGAGATTCTAGGCACCGCGGAAGAGTGTTGTTTACAAAATTGAAATTAAGAAAAGCGAATGTCCGGCGCTCAAACCGTGTTGATGGATAAGGAAGACCCATCTAGAAGAGTTTGAAAGCCCTGAATCCAAACTAATGGGGTACATGGATTACAGGATCCTGAGGAAAAAATGGTATATGAACCTAACCTTGACCATTGGCTATCATGGGACTACATCTAATGTTGCTCTACTGCCTTGTAGATTAGACCTTTATGTCAAAGGCTTGTGACACTTTGAGGAAACCACTTGCTTTGTTTTGGGCGCCCGGGTAATGTCTCATCCCACACGCAAATTAAATGATAACTAATGTGTGCGACACATATATTTGGTGCTTCTCTGTAACCATGTTTATGTGTTTAGATAATAATAATAATAATAATAATAATAATAATAATAATAATAATAATAATAATAATAATAATACTTCAATTCTGGTAATTAAGGATAATAAGCTGAGAAACAAAATGGGTAACATCTACTTACCAGCATTGTTTTATAGCTTAATTCCCTAAGTGACTTCTCTTAATTTTTAACTGAAGAAAAATTATATAGGATTTGCATATTTCTGTGAAATCTGTCACAGTATATTATTCTGACCTTAATATACAGCTCAACTAACTAAATATAGATTAACTAGTGAGATGCTATTTCATTGTACCATCCAGTTGACTTTAGATTATAATATTGAGTGGAAATATACTACATGAGTTTCAGGACTTTCAATGTCAGTCGTGTTCTTAACTATTCAGTTGGTCAAGCGTAGTCGTGGCCATTTGAAAACCAAATTTACGATAAATTTGTTTCGTGAAAACTAAATCTTATAGTAATGGACTTTTATCTGACTATTTTGTCGAGTTCAATTTCATTTTTGATGTGAAAATACGTAAATGAACGTGTGGTCTACTCATGTAGTAATACTCTTTTATCACAATAAATATTAAATAAAAGGAACCTCTATGATGTCAACGAAATATATTTCGAAATAAATATTTATCAAAAACTTACACGCAACAGGGATGTAGCTGTCCAGATTTTCCCACCTAAATCAGTTGGTGAATTATAGTGACCGTGATCAGCTGTCCATGATTCATGGACTACGATCTATAGTGTTGAGAGAAAAGAGTACCAACCAAGGTCAAATAGGGGAATGATAATATTACATAGCAATAACAATAGTGATAATAATAATAGTAATAGTAGTAATCAAAGTTGGCACACACTTACCTCATGTAATAAAAAGCCATAGCCAATCATTTCATCATGCTTATCATCCAAAAATTTTGAAGTAAGAAACAGATAATTTAACCGGTCAAATACTTTAATCTTTAGTAAAAGAATGTAAATTATTAAATTAACATGATAACAAATAATAAAAAAACTAACAACATGACTGATAGTTTTAGGTCCATTTCTATTTCCCAAATTAGTGAAAAAATCGTAATCAGCGACGAGTGTAAGGCGACAAAGTTTGCGCTGTAATTGTATGGGGTTGAAACGTTTTCGTCTAATATAGACATCTGTAAAAAAAAGAGAATGGAAATTGAAACAGAACTTGGTGAACAGTAAATTGGTCGCTCAATTAATAAACTACAAAAAAATAATGAATTAGACAAATTGAAAATCGGTTCACCGAAAAATTGCAAATAAACAGATACTGAAATTCAATGATCGTAAAATTCATTCTCAATCTAATGTATATGAACAACTCTTCATAACACTAATAGAAAGACGCATAGCATTTGGCAACAACACTGATAAAATGTAGTTTTCTAGGAACTAAGACCTGAGATACATATTATATCTGTCAGGTGTAACATATTTGGCATAAAGACTGATATAAGCTAATGTCTAGTGCAACAGAAACGTTTGAAATGGATAAGAACATTAACTATTTATGTAACTTAATTAAAAACGTACCTTTGTCACACAAATTTACAGACAGTTATGCAGTCACTTGTCCTTAATGGATTCACCACAGAAAATGTGAATATCAAACAAGTAATGTCAGCTAATATGTACCGAATGGGTATCTATGACAAGTATGACCGCCATATTACATCGACTATTAATCAATAATAGCTGCTCGTAACTCTGATAAATAGGGTTTGTGCGTAAACGCCTTTGGATACAATCTAACGAAGAGAAGTGGTACAAAGTTACAGTAATGATATAATTAACTGCGTGAACAAGTGACACCTACTGACAGAAAAACAGCTTGCGACAGGTCACAAACATGCATCGGTTTAAAGTTGTGAAGAAAAGAGGAGGAAAGAGCCTTACAGTTAACGAAAATATGAATGCGAACAGTGGTTAACAAAATAAGATTTAATTTAGTTGAAAATACAACTGATACGTCCTTTCATTTAAAAGGGTTTATCTTAATTCTATAAATTCCAGCAACTAACAGAATGATAGCTACTGGGTTTATTTTCTGAGACATATATGATGATGTCTCAAGTCCGGTTTTTATTATCTCCAGGACTAGGAAGTCATGGACGGACAGGCCACGGTCTTATATAACTAGCTTTTATGCCAAGGTACCATATCATAAACTTACCACTTCTGCTCTTCTCCCACACATTCCAAACGTCCGGAAATAATGCATGATATGGAGGTCCCTGGGATGTCATTCGTAACGCATGCCCAAGCCGATAGTCTCGATGCTTTAAGTTAGTTGGACTGCAATCAAATATACTACTGGACCTCAACATAACTTACGTGGTGTTGCCACTGGATGTTAACAATCCATAGGAGACAACGATGATCAGAGACAGGATCGTTAACCATATTCAGTTCGAAGAGGAAACGTTTCATGAACATAGGTCAGAACTGGTCTGACCGAAGTGTCGTCTGTTCGACCTCTCATAGGCAAAACAACATAATGACAGTGCGAAAGATGGTCCAGATTGATAATTATGTAAATTATTAGGTCAACTATCACAACTCCATGGACAAAAATAGGCTACACTCATTACTATGCAGAACAAATAATTATTGATTGCGTCATACCCCTGTAGCACCAAGCTGTAGTCATTTCACTAGTGAACGGTTTTCGTAAACTGCTATAGAGAACAAGAAGACGTAGAGTGGGAACAAAATATGAGGAGGCTAAAAAAATCCTTTTCAAGTGAAAACCGGTGTGGAAACTGACAGCAAGGTATATTTACCAAAACACAGACATACTGGGGAGCAAAAATGATATAATTACTCGTTATGACATAGGATTTTATGATTTTATGAACGAATTTTCAACTGTTAAAATCAAAGAGGATGTCGGTTGATAGATGACATGGATTGATGAAGTCCCCGAGTGATAGCTGTTTACGAGATCAAACTATCAACGTAAGACCTCCAATCAGTCAGGGTCAAAGACAAGCCCATTATCCAGAAGAATAGGTTTTTTATATAGTAAAAAAGCGAGCTTGTATACAAAATATCCATGCGAAAATAACATGATTAAATGACATAAACGATTGGATAAAGTCAATTTGTGTGTGGCTCATTCTCCAATTAATTAAATCCTGAGTGTTAGGTCTAGTTGTAGCCCATAATATCATATCATAAAAAAATTTAAAAGTATACACTAACATGATCCTAATGAAAAAACTCTACACAGTAAGATAACTCGTCAATTTAAAAATAGCCTATTATTTAGCTTATATATGAAGTGGCGTGTATATTTTTAAAAAGATTCTTTTATCAGATTTAAGTGTAATTAAACTACCACTAACTAACCAAATGTATCAGTTTCTAGGGCCAATAAAGTGGCTGATTTATAATTCATCGATTTACTAAAATGAAGTTAACAACAAGTCAGAGAAAGGAAATCAAACACTTACTTTAGTATCTTTTTAAATTGAATATCTCTTAGGCGATACATTAACATAGAATTATTTTCAATATAGCTTGTGTAATCAGACAATGGCTAAGAATAATAATTAATATACTATAATTTACCTCAATAACAAAAATATCTGATTCCATATGAATATGAGCGCTAAGTAGTGAAGTGTATGGTTCCAAATGAGCTAACACAAATGATTGGTTTGAACCTGATACATAGCCAGTATGTAATTCTGCATATTTTGTTTTCGGATAAAAAGAATAGGTACCATTTGTACTGATAAATCTGACTGACAAGTTAGAATTATGAAACGATGTTTCACGATGAAGAACCAAATACCATGATCTAGAGGAATGAGTAAAAAACAATAATTACCTTCCCCATGCATAAAATACAGTTTGCCTGGTCTGCCGTCCACTAATATCTCGAGCGATACGAAAGGATGGTCTCTCAAATAACTCATATTGTTCAAGCTGTGAAAATACATCAGATTCTAAAAACATTTTGAAATATCACGGAACACACTACCTATCCTCAGAGTATACTGAATAAATAAAGTCAGGAAAAACAGTAAACACATTGTTCACAGCCAATTATTAGCTGTATAAACCTCATACTGTATGTCGTTAAACGTAAAATTACATATCAGGGTCCGGAAGGTTTATGGAGTGATATGCATTGTATTTAAATCAAAAACATTACTGAATGAGCACAAAAACAACGATTAGAAAGTCTGAAATCAAAATTTTTGAAAAAAAAGTTAATTAAATTGGAAACAAATAAAACTAACAAATTGTAAATTATTTGCAGATACAGTCAGTTTCAACAGTGATAACATGGGTGGTAATTAGTCAAAAGATCCCGCTGGAAACTGTCCAGTCAGGATACTAGAAGGTGATTTGTGATACGGAAAAATAGAGAAATAGAACATGTTGAGCGATACACTTGTAATTCAATGATCAGTACATTTTGGTAGTTTGTTCTCTTCAGTTAATTGCCCATATTCGAAAAATATTAACAGCTTGAGTTATATACATCAATGTGAATCACTGATGAGCATATCGTGAAATGAAAAAACTGTTCTTTAGTATTTCGATTACATTTCGGATTGTGATTTTATCGAGTAGCTACATCGTTAAATTCCTAAATAAATCTTTTAATTTGAAATCGGACTCAAATATTGACATACTAGCAAGCCAATTTGATCTAGTCATATCAAATCTCCAGTTAACCGAATTCATTAAACTGACACATGACAATGCACTGACTCTTGGGCTACATTTATGATCGGAAGTCTAAACCAGGACACGTGAATCTGAATCAGTCAGCTACAACATCAGACCAGGAACATATATGCATCGGTCTACGTTGCCATGCCTCATTAGCATAACAACATGAACACCAAATTCGTAGAAGCAGTTACTTTCATGTTAGTAATATATAAAAGAAATATTGTATATAAGGATATATTACAGGTATGAAGTAATTTTAATCTCTCGGTTTAAGGGAAGACAAAGAGTGTATACACCTACTACATTGTGATCGATTCTGAGCCATATCACCCAGAGTCCCCAAACATTGGTTACGATAGTCGCGTGAACCCTAAACAAGTAGTTCGCATTCACCAACATGGCTCAGACCAGAAGTCACTGACTTCAAGGAATGATGCTACGTTTTGGTTTGGCTACCCCTAACTTCCTTCCAGCCGTATCCAACACTAGTCAGCATTGCGCGTCGTGGTAATCGATGGTTGGGGATGCGTAATACGTGGCCCAACCATCTCAGTCGATGAAGATTCACAACCTCATCAACTGATTTACCATCATTCCCTAATACCCTGTGTCTAACCTCACTATTACTTACCCGATGATCCCACCAGATGCGAGCAACATTTATAAGACATATGTGATCAAAGACTAGTAACTTACGAGTGTCTTCTACTCCTAATGGTCATGTTTCGCAGCCGTAAAGTAAAACAGAACGAACTGCCACGCAGTATACTCGTCCGTTAATTGACAGACGGATATCTCGCCTTCGCCATAGGTGACGTAAGTTGGCAAGAGCCAAGCGAGCTTTTCGAATCCGTGCTGAGATTTCGTCAGACACCAACCCATTACGGCTGATCAGATCCCCAGAATAAGTGGAGTTGTCAACGCGTTCGACTACTTCACTCCCTATCCTTACTTCAGGTGTTGACGCAGACCAGTCCTGGAGCAACAACTTGCATTTAGAGGGAGAGAAGCGCATTCCAAACATTCTGGCATTGTTGCGTAGTGCTACCAAAAAACTGCATTTTATCAGCGTCTTCACCAAACAGGACTATGTCATCTGCGTATTCTAAGTCGATAAGTGGACCTCCTGGAAGGAGATCAATACTCGAGAATTCAGTAGACGAGAATGTTATTTCCATCAGTAGGTCCATGATGAAGTTAAACAAAAATGGAGAAAGTGGACAGCCTTGACAGACACCACTTGAGGCTGTAAAAGTAGATGACAGTTCGCCATAAGCTCTGACTCGACTGGTAGTGTTCGAGTAAAGAGCCTTCACAAGCTTTATGTACTTCTGAGGTACGCCTTTCAATGATAGACACTGCCACAGAATCTCGCGGTCTACCGAGTCAAATGCTGCTTTTAGGCCAAGAAAGACCACCATTGTCGGACGCCGATAAGTATGCCTATGTTCTAGAACCTGACGAATGGTTAATATGTGGTCGATGCAGCCACGACTAGTTCTGAAGCCAGCCAGATTTTCTCGTGTTTGCAGTTCACGAGTCTTAGTTAGGCGCCCGATAATTATAGAGGCTAGTATTTTAGATACTATATTAGTTAAACTAATCCCTCTATGGTTATCACAGGATAATTTTGATCCTTTATATATATATATATATATATATATATATATATATATATATATATATATATATATATATATATTGGGACGATCAGTGATTTCGACCAGTCAGATGGGATTACATTCAGTTCCTAGATTTTAGCTAAAATATTGGTCAACCTAATCGCTAAAATTGGACCACCATCCTTGAAGACTTCTGGAACCAATCCATCTGGACCAGCTGCCCTTCCTCGTTTCAGATTAACTATAGCCTTTTGAACTTCACCTAAAGTTGGACGACTTACTTCAATGTTCCATTCACACTGTCTGGGAATGGAGGGTAGTTGTAGAGTAACTGAAGGCCAGCTGAACTGTTCTCTAAAATGTCCCGCCCACCGTTCTAAACGTCCGGACTGAGAGCAGAAGAGGGTGTCGTCTTTTTCCGAAATAGTCTGACTTACACTTGACTTATTAACTTCAGTTTCTTTTATTAGTCTGTAGAGCTGTCTTGTGTTCCCTATAGCCGCTGCCTTTTCCATCTCTTTTGGTTTCGTTGTCCACCACTGCTCACGGTCGTTTCTTAGACTTTTGCTTATCCTAGATCTGATTTGTTTACGCTCTTTATCGTGTTCAGAACCTAATGCGATAGGTTTATGAGAGTCTATCAGTGCAATGGATGTAGTAGAAATCCAATGGTTTTCCGTAACATTTTGGTTCAAATCTCCAACGATTATCGCTGCTGTTTCCATAGATGTTCGTATATATTCCCAAGCAATATCTGGGTCAGCCTCGTTTTCGAAATTGCCCAAGTGTGACTTCAGTTGTTCACGGAATTTACCTTTGGCTTTCTCATCGCTGTGTTCGACTGAAATGGGTCTTCTCAATGTGGCTTTTTTGCGTCCATTGAGGCGCAATTAAATACGTGCTCTTATTAGAGAATGATCAAAGCCTAAAAATGTATTCCAGAACGAGCGGCAGTTTTCTACAGAGCCTCTCCAACGATGACTGATGGCAACAGGGTTCATCGTTGGTTTGGTGAAGAGGGTCGCCCTGTTAGACAATATCTCTATGTTTGAAATTGGTGCTTGTTGAAAATAAACGATTGTCTGAGCGCAGTTGCAGCAGTCGGTCACCATTATTTGTTCGCTGAGCCGGAATACCGAAATACCCACCTAATTGTCTTTCTTTTTGGTTTAAGCTACCTACTTGGGCATTAAAGTCAGCTGCTACGAGTACTATGTCTGAGTGTTTAGGTTTTTGAAGAATTTCAGTATGGTTTCTGTAAAGTTCACCTTTCACTTCATCCGGGCTGCAGTCAGTGAGAGCGTAGATAGAAACGACGGAAAGGCAACGTGTATTTCTATCCTTTCGAGTTCTTACGGAGCCGTCTAGCCGAACAGCACACAGGCGACTGTTAACAGGGATTTATTCTAAGAGTGCTTGTTCTGCCCTAATACTTAGTGCTATGCCTACAACCGCCAGTCCACGAGAATTTGCCACTGGATAGCCAGATACACGGAGAGTTTATCTCGTCGGCTCTTCGTTTTGCCGAGGGGAGGTCAAGTGAATGACCACATCAGGATCCTGAATGTGTGTTTCGGAGTCATAGCATACATCAATCGTACGAAATTCTAGGGTCTTAGCCAAGGAGGCACGCTGGTTGATTGGACATACGTTGCATACGTTGAAGGCTTTAATGTGTATTTTGGAGCGAGGTTTCAGTAGACCTGGGACAATATTTCGTGCACTAGAATCGTTAGTGATGGTGACGCTTGAGAAAGAAATAAAATGAGAAAGTTTAGAATTGAAAGTCAAGGTAGGAGGAATAATAGGAATTGAAGAGGGAGATTTATTGTGAATATCATTGCAAAAAAATACTAATCTATATCTTTTCATCATATAATTAACAATGTATTTGTTGGCTGATCGAAGAGCCTGTCACATGCGACCCTTTTGTGAACAATTTTCGTGCTAGCTTCGTACTCGTTGAAACCTTACCACCGGAGACGGAAATGCGTGGGATAAGGGTGAGATGTGCATTTTTTAGAGTCAACCTTTTCTAACACCGCCCTTCTTTGTGGGAAGACAGCATCGCTGTCATGCTGGTTGTCTGGGGGAAACACCTGACTGCCGCCACACCTCCGTGGTCCGTGGTACGACTTTGCTCTCGGACCTCCGGTTTGCTGCTTTTAGTCTCAATGCTCCTCGACCGGGAATGGTAGGACCTTGAGAAACAATTGTTCCAGCTAGTATAGCCCGACTGGTTCATAACGATAGGCCCCCGAATGCCCTGGTATGGCCGAGAGTGGGGTGGGCCCGCCCTCTCTCTCGAAATGCTCTCACATGGCCACGCGTATACAGCCTCTGCCAGGGAAGTCCTACTCATTGCCTTCTCGTGGCGGGGGTGTTGGTTACGAAAATGAGAGGACGAAAAGCGAATGTCCGGCGCTTTAACCGGTTTCCAAACCAATGGTGCACATGGGCTCCAGTATCCTGAGGGAACAAATGGCGTATGAACCAATTTTTGGTCACCGGCTACCATGGGACGGCATCTCTTCACGATGCTCCACTGCCTTGTGGATCAGACCTTCAGGTCGAAGGCTCGGGGTGTGGCCCCCTAAGATAACCACCTGCTTCGGTCTGGGCATCTGAGCAGTAACACAGCCAGCACACAAATATGATGAACTGTCGATAATTATGGAAAATACTTTTCTTGCTACAACTATTAATCAAACGTTTCAGATTATTATTATTACTATTGTTATTATTTACTACGTCATTTATTCACTCTCTTTTATTTCTACTCTGTCTATCCTTATTTTTCGACTTATACAGCAGCTCGTCTATGGTGGAAATTCGGTTCTATCTAAACGTTCTCGAGTAGAGACGTTATCAGATATGGCTCAAAATAGAAGCCAGTGGCGATCCTGCTGTAACCTTTTACTTTCTTCATAAAAAGTGGTTGCTTCTTCCTTAACTGAAAGATCTCTTCTGAGTGTACGTTTCTGTTTCCCACATTATTATAATTACACCACCTTACACTAATCTATTCGTTATCGTTTTTTTACGCTCCTTACCTTTTTTTCCTTTTCTGCAAATTCTCATTGTTTTGTGTGGCGTATATATATTTCGTGCCCTCCTGTACCAATATTTATGTGTTTAAATAAATAAATAATAAATAAATCATAACGATAGGCAAGCCCAATCACCACGTCAAGGTAGCAACAACGATGGTGTCAGTATAACTGAGCTCCAAATCAGAATTAAACAGTTGAAATCTGGGTGTATAAGTCGTTGAGTGATGGACATCGCGCAACAATAAAGGCCAAACAACTAATAATCTTTTAATATACTGTAAAAATTCACAAACAGTGAATAAAGATTACGGTTCATAGTCATAATCATAAGTATAACAGTTAAGAAACTGAAATAAAGATGCTTAGTATTGATGACATAGTTGCAGTTCATGTGGAATTTTACTGTTACCAAATAATCTATAAAAATACATAAATTTAGACTGAAATAGAATCCCACAAAGTATCTGGTTTATTAATCATATTTCTTTTATTAACAATTGATCTTTTAGTCAAGAAAGCGATAAAATTGATAAGGATATGGTAGATCGGGTTTGTCTTTTTATAAGGTGGTGGGTAAGTAAATTAAGTATTATGCCCTTTAGAGTTCGAGCCTTTGACATACACAAAAGTGTACTATCCCATTCTCATACAAACAATGTGACTATAGTAAAAAGTTCACAAACCTGAACTTATTAGTTGCATCACCACTTAATTAAGGACTTTTACTTGGCACAGACTTGTTTAAATAAAGGAGACCAGTTGCAAAATAATATATTGCTTATCAAGTGGATTGACTGATTATGAATTAACTCACTGTTACATACATCAATACACACTTATTATAACCATACAAATGTTTTTCCCAACAAGTTTGAGTTGGGTTTATTGAACATGGTTGTTGGGGCGTCCCATAGAGTTTAACTAACGTAAAATTATTATATGGTAATTTATAAAAATAACTAAATGATGAATACATTATCATACCAAAATATCATTACTGAACATATTACTATTAAACTATCCAGTTGTTTCCAGTCACTGGATAGAATGAGTGATAATGTTCGTTTTCTTTCTTTGGATGCAAGTGATGGGAAACTAGAGACGTTCGTCGAACTACAGTACATCAGAGTCGATCAAGCATCAAATTACAATTTTAGTCGTTTCATAATTTGAATAGCCCACAAACTCATTATTTATGATGACAATGTAAAAACACCCCCGAATATCCCGGTACGGCTGAAAGTGGGGAAAGTCAACGCTCCCTCTCGAAATACTCTCACATGCTATGAGATAATTGTTGTTTTCGAAGTTGAGAGAACGAAAAGCGAATGTCCTGCTCCCACCGGGTTGGTGGATACGGACAATCCACCTGGGAGTTAGAAAACCCTGATTCCATACCAATGGTGCATATGGGCTCCAGGATCTTAAGGAAACAAATGCCGTATTAACCTATTGTCGGTCACCAGCTATCATGGGACTGCATCTCCTGACGTTCCTCCACTATATATATATATATATATATATATATATATATATATATATGACTGCCTTGATAAGAATTACGTTGGAAAAACTAGTTTTCCATGAAGAAATACAGCGGCGACTTTTTCTAATTAATTTACTTGTTTCTATGTAATTGTTCGTATTCGAATACGCTAATTAAAGGAGAACGTTTAGTCAACCGAAAATACATCAACTTTCCTAGCAAACCAAATCTCCAGTAAGAAATTTTGACTTTTAAAAAGCAGTACATCTAGTTTCTGGTGATAAGTGTAAACACTATTACTAAGAAAAACTAAAGCTGGGAAAAACAAAAGTCGCAAGTCACGAACAGTTTAAAATAACCTCACCTCTTATACGCGCGCTTTACGAACGGGAAGTTTAGTCGTAAAGTGATTTGCATTTCTCAAACTTTTGCTCTGTCGTTACGCAACAAAAGTATCATTCCTGGCCTAGAAAATTTGTCTCCAGCTGTATGTTTGTAGATTACTTTTCTTTTTGAGTTTTACCCAAGTTAATAGTTAACTGTGGTTTTGCCTCAGCTTACTATTCGGTTTTTCAGTTTTTGAAGTCAAGGCTAGTTTTAGTTTATTCCAATCTTTTGTACCACCAGTCTTTATCCATTTTATCCGCTTTTAGTCAGTTGTTTTCCTGTTTTACGGTCGTAGACTTCTGCTAGAATCTGTAAAACAATTTACATTATCATAATTATGGAGAATACATCCAAGCGACCCGGATGCCATTTTGCTGTTACCTCTAACATGCAGTGTAACAAATGATTAGGTTGATTTCACGGAGCGTGCACAGATCTTACAGTAATTGCTTACAACAGACTCAGTAAGTCGTATCATAGGTGGGTATGTGGCACATGCAACATTAATGCTCAGGTTTTGCTGAGCAACATCATCATTCTCTTGACAGGTCTGTGGAAAAAAGCTGTCAGCAAACCTGAAAAAAGACGGTCCTAAAACGAGTAAACAAATAAAGATGCTCAGTGAAGACAAGGACAGGGGAGCTCACGCGTTTCAAAGTGAAAGCGTAAATTGCTTCTACATGAACGTCGCGAGTCTAACAAATAAAATGGACGAGCTGCGCAAGCTCAGTAATGCTAATAATGCTCATCTGAAAGGAATATCTGAAACGTGGATGTCTTATCAGTTTACGGACCATGAGCTGGTATTACCTGGAATGCCTTTATTTCTCAATGACAGAAAATCAGTAAGTTGGGTGGAGCAGTCTTATACTAGCGATCTTGTCTGGAAGTACACCAAGTTCAAAATCAAGAGTTTACCAATCTTAATGAATCCATATGATACTCAAAAATGTTTTGCACCAACTCGAGCTATCCAGTTGGAGTCATCTACAGGGAGCCCACTTCTGACATCGAGTACGACAATCGTATGCTGGAAGGATTATCCCGCTCTACTCGTCTGGAATTCAATCATATCCTGATTCTAGGGGAATTCAACCTCCCTAGAGTCAATTTCGCGGAACATACGTATATTGGAGGTGAAAACTCAACTGAAGCTCGGTTCTTCAACCTCATTGAGGATCTGGGATCATTCGAAAACGTGAAGTCGGCAGCTCGTTGGAGAAACAGTCAGACGTTGTCGCGCTTGAGCTGGGTATTTGCAAACGAAGAATTCCTAATTGATAACCTCTCAGCCCTGGCTTCCCCAGAGAAAAGCGTTCACGCCGTCATAGCATTTAATTTTTTCATCATAACTGAGCTAAAACATCCTACCAACAACAGGCACTGGAATTTCAAACGGTTGAATCTGGCAGTTTACAGAACAGTCTATAACAGGTGGATAGGGAAATACACACTCAACTTGATGTGGATGCTCATTGGGATTTTTTACCGCACAAGGCAGTTTGTTCCTCAAATGGTACCCAAAATCTGCAAGCAACCTTCGGTCATCAAAAACCGCACTCTACGTTTGCTAAGCTGCAAAAGGCACTGTTAGGCGGAACAAAAGCGAACTGGTAACATCAGCTCATACAGTGCAATACAAACATACAAGTAACATGTACACAGATGATTGCTGTGGTCATTGAAAAGTTTCAAATTACTTGCTAATCAGTTACCTAGGCACTAGAAACAGTAACGGAATTCGTGTGTTTCTGACAGCACGACTGTCGGTTATTCAAAACTATCGAAGCAGTTTCTGTTTAACATGTGATGTATCCACCAGGATAGCAGCGAAAATTTTCACACACCATTGAAGTACTTATGAAAGTTAATAGCTGTTTAACAGGTTAATGGGAATTTTGTTTTCCCGTAACATGCCCTATTTTTACCAGGTTTAATAACAACTGACATCACAAACGACATCTTTTTATGGATTACTGTGGTACTTGTACAGACTAATGGTTTATTTGTACTTGATTGCTCGCTGATTTCGAATTCCAAATATAACACGTTCGTTGGTGCCCACGTAGTTATAATTGCTTTAGATTCAATTATTTTGGAATTTCCTAGTTAGCACACTATTTCGAATAATTCTGATCATCATAACTGTTTCTATTTGAAGCATTATTTCATTGATTTTTCGCGCCTGTAGTTAACCCTCGTTCTATTGATAGAAGAGACCAGGCTAGTAGTGAATAAGTCTTTATTTAGATCTTCGCGCAGTCACAGCAGAGCGTGGGATTACCTGTTCAAGCAAACAAAGCCTCTCAAAATTCAATATAATATTACAGGAAATATAACGCCTTTACAAAGTACGGAGGCGAATAAATACTTGAACTCTATTGTTTTGACATATGCTTTGTTGTTTGAGGTCAACTCTTAAACAATCAACTTAAGCTATTACATTAGCTTCCCCTAGAATCGACTTCCGTAGGAATGTCCATGGACGTCTCTTCATTTACTAGCTTGCCATCTTATTTTGTAGCATGTAATTTCTCCTACAACTATCGCTGGAGGTTCGCCACGTGCTTGCAAGAAAAAAGGGTGGGAAAATGAAACTAGAATATCTGAGGAAGTGCTGCGAGCGGGCTACCCAACACCATGTTGGTGAGGTACGATTTTTCCATGCTCTGTCCAGCTGTCAGGTGTTTACTCACCTGCCTCTTGAGTTGCTTTCAAGCAAAAAAATAAAGAAGGATCTATTTCAAAGGCAACGATGAAAACCAATGAAACCTGAAGAACTGCTCCACTGCTTGCATAAAATACTAAGGTACAAAATGGAAATACATAAATATAGTTGATAATTTTTCGTTTCTTCGTAAGTGTTTGGCTTCCAGAATGGATTGGTAATCTGGAAGGAAATAGACATAGCGTATACATCTTGTGTACGAAAAAGTATGAAAACAACAAAAAATACTCTTTCAGTAGCGCGAACTTTGAAAGTGGTAACATTTTTTTCACGTGGTCTAGGAATTCTTCGACTTGCTCTTTTGTAGGGTGTATTATACTGTGATTATCATCCTATCCTGTACATCGTGAACATCTCACCTCGAAACATAAGAAAAAACTTATTTTTATTCGACGGACAATTACCAGTTCGTATTGTACCTATTGCGGACTTAAGTCGTAAATAGGTCTGCAATTTATTATATACTCACAGTCTCTAATCCTAGTATTAACCAGGTTAATACTTAATAACAACTAATACTCAGATATTATATTTAATTTAACGAGCACTGTGCTCGCTTATATTCATATCATGTCCAATAACTCTAGTAAAAGAGGAATTTCACCAACTTCTAAGCCAAATAAAAGGTCCAAATCTGTAACCCCTACAACCGACGACTCAATGCTTGACAATGTCGAACCTTTAACTACTGAAAAATATGTGCATTGTACACAAATGTCTCTATCGTCACCAGATTCTCCATGTCGCAGCCCCTCTATCTTTACGTGCAGTATGCCAACGGTAAGACTGGTTGACATACAAGACACTATACCTACGTGCATTGAAAAGTCAGCACAGTCTACTAAACAGTATGCGCTACCAAGGCCTAAGTCTAAAATTTCAAAAACTAAAGAGTCCAATGGTCCACCTCATACGCACCAAAATACTGATAGATATAGTAATGACATCCGACAGCTACAAAACTCTCTGTCCGAAATTAACGGCAAACTTGAGCAATTAGCATCCCTCACTCATATATGGGGCCTTGATACAGACAGAAATCTTGAGCAACTCACTAAAGCTGAGTGTATTTTGGAGTTTGTGGCTGAAGAAGTGACGAAGAGAGTAATGTCCTCCTTCAATGCAGTTGTGTATAACCTCCCCGACCGCACACACCTATCTAAGTTAAGAGATATTTGCCTTAGAGCATGCGGTATGCCGAACGTTAACTGCAAAGTCATCCGCCTTAGAAAAAAGTCAGACAGATCAACTTGCCCCCTCTTGTTTATGTTTGGCTGTTGTAACGATGCTAAGCAGTTTATTGATTTGAGCAAAAACATTAGCTCACTAATTCCATACAAAAATATAAAAGTCACTCCAGACCTTACGCCCTGTCAACGTCGTGTAAGAAGACGCGAAGCCATAGAATTGAATGGGAGTGTTACAGTTAATAATCAGCCAGAGACAGTTTGCAACACAGCAAATAGTTTAAAACACATGAACATTAAGCATGACACCACTCCACATACGGCTGATCACTCTGTTGATCTAGATGAGTCTACAGATCAGAAACCTTTGGATAAGATACGGACCCCAACTGACACCAAAAACCATAACGACATGACTAATCCCAGCTGTTCATTCAGTAATGTACTAAAATGTGAGTCGTGTAACAACACATGTGCAACTAAACCTATACACTTGAAAATTTGTCCTCCTAAAGACATTCCACAAGTAGACTTGAATGAACGTAAGTTCATCTCACAAAGACAACGAAAGAATCCTGCTCTGAAAATAAAGGGTGGGAAGACAAAACTCATGATACCGAATAGGGAAACACGTAAGATTGAACCCAACTGCTCTATAGGTATCCCAAGAACAGTGA